TCAAATATGGGAATTGAGTACATAAATTTATAAACATATAATGGCGTTATATTTCAACGCATGGCACATCACCAGAAATAGTTCTACTTTCAAACAGATTTAGCCCTGGTCTGTGGGTTAAGGCGTCTGACTACAAGTCAGATTCTCCATGGCAGCGTAGGTTCGAAACCTACCTGCTGCAAACGACCATTTGTTTTGCTTGAAATATAATTTTTGTAATTAGCAGCTCAGTCCAGATAATTTTGTTAATTATGGGGATTGAGTGCATACATTTAAAACAATATAATGTCCTAATATTTCAAATGGCACATCAAAAGAAATAGTTCTACTTTCAAACAGATTTAGCCCTGGTCTGTCAATTAAGGCGCCTGACGAGAAATCAGATTCTCCATGGCAGCGTAGGTTCGAAACCTACCTACTGCAAACGGAAATTGTTTTGCTTGAAATATAATTTTTGTAATTAGCAGCTCAGTCCAGAAAATTTTGTCAATTATGGGGAATAAGTTCGAAACCTACCTACTGCAAACGGCCATTGTTTTGCTTGAAATATATATTTTTTAATTAACAGCTCAGCCCAGAAATTTTTTCAAATATCAAGATTGAGTACATAAATTTCTAAAAATATAATGGCCTTATATTTCAACGCATGGCACATCACCAGAAATAGTTCGACTTTCAAACAGATTTAGCCTTGGTCTATTGGTTAATTCGGGTGACTAGACATCAGATTCTCGATGGCAGTGTAGGTTCGAAACCTACTTACTGCAAACGGAAATTGTTTTGTTTGAAATATAATTTTTGTAATTAGCAGCTCAGTCCGGAAAATTTTGTCAATTATGGGGATTGAGTTCGAAACCTACCTACTGCAAACGGCCATTGTTTTGCTTGAAATATATATCTTTTAATTAACAGCTCAGCCCAGAAATTTTTCTCAAATATGGGGATTGAGTACATAAATTTATAAAAATATAATGGACTTATATTTCAACGCATGGCACATCACCAGAAATAGTTCGACTTTCAAACAGGTTTAGCCTTGGTCTGTCGGTTAAGGCGTCTGACTAGAAATCAGATTCTCCATGGCAGCGTAGGTATGAAACCTACCTACTGCAAACAACCATTTGTTTTGCGTGAAATATAATTTTTAGCAGCTCAGTCCAGAAAATTTTGTCATTATGGGGATTGAGTGCATACATTTAAAACCTGCTCTTATATTTCAAATGGCATATCACCAGAAATAGTTCTACTTTCAAACAGATTTAGCCCTGGTCTGTCCGTAAAGGCGTCTGACTAGAAATCAGATTCTCTATAGCAGCGTAGGTTCGAAACCTACCTACTGCAAACGGCCATTGTTTTGCTTGAAATATATATTTTTTAATTAACAGCTCAGCCTAGAAATTTTTCTCAAATATGGGGATTGAGTACATAAATTTATAAAAATGTAATGGACTTATTTTGCAACACATGGCACATCACCAGAAATAGTTTGACTTTCAAACAGATTTAGCCCTGGTTTGTCGGTTAAGGCGTCTGACTAGAAATCAGATTCTCTATCAGCATAGGTTCGAAACCTACCTACTGCAAACGACCATTTGTTTTGCTTGAAATATAATTTTTGTAATTAGCAGCTCAGCCCAGAAAATTTTGTCAATTATGGGGATTGAGTGCATAAATTTAAAACAATATAATGCCCTTATATTTTAAATGGCACATCACCAGAAATAGTTCTTCTTTCAAACAGATTTAGCCCTGGTCCGTCAGTTAAGGCGTCTGACTAGAAATCAGATTCTCCATGGCAGCGTAGATTCGAAACCTACCTACTGCAAACGGAAATTGTTTTGCTTGAAATATATATTTTTTAATTAACAGCTCAGCCCAGAAATTTTTCTCAGATATGGGGATTGAGTACATGAATTTATAAAAATATAATGGCCTTATATTTCAACGCATGGCACATCACCAGAAATAGTACCACTTTCAAGCAAATTTAGATTTGGTCTGTCGGTAAAAGCGTCTGACTAGAAATCAGATTCTCCATATCAGCGTAGGTTCGAAAGCTACCTACTGCAAACGGCCGCGTAGAGTGGTGCGGTTTCGTAAACACCATAGCGTGGTAGGTTTCCGACGTTCCTATCAAACCGCCACCGAAGAGGTTCACGGTCTAGGCAATCTATAAACTCAACTTTGGTCCATTTTGGTTAGTTTTGGTTATCGCTTTGGTGACGCCAACCACCACGGAGGCGGTCTACCATCTATTCGGTCTATATACTTCAATTTGGTCCAATTTGGTTAGTTTCGGTTATGGAAGCGGTCTATATATAGAGACGACCTATATATGGGGGCGGTCTGTATATAGAGGCGATCTGTATATGGAGGCGGTATATAAATGGAGGCGGTCTATAAATGGAGGCGGTCTATATATACAGGCGGTCTATATATGGAGCCGGTCCGCATATGGAAGCGGATACAAAGGCGATCCATATACGTATACCAAATTCAAGGTGAAACCGCGAAAGGCTCATTAAATCAGTTATGGTTCCTTAGATCGTACCCACAATTGCTTGGATAACTGTGGTAATTCTAGAGCTAATACATGCAAACAGAGGTCCGACCGGAGACGGAAGGAGTGCTTTTATTAGATCAAAACCAATCGGTGGCGGGTTCGCGCCCGACATCGTTCAACTTGGTGACTCTGAATAACTTTACGCTGATCGCACGGTCTCGCATCGGCGACGCATCTTTCAAATGTCTGCCTTATCAACTGTCGATGGTAGGTTCTGCGCCTACCATGGTCGTAACGGGTAGCGGGGAATCAGGGTTCGATTCCGGAGAGGGAGCCTGAGAAACGGCTACCATTTCCAAGGAGGGCAGCAGGCGCGCAAATTACCCACTCCCGGCACGGGGAGGTAGTGACGAAAAATAACGATACGGGACTCATCCGAGGCCCCGTAATCGGAATGAGTACACTCTAAACCCTTTAACGCGAGGATCAATTGGAGGGCAAGTCTGGTGCCAGCAGCCGCGGTAATTCCAGCTCCAATAGCGTATATTAAATTTGTTGCGGTTAAAAAGCTCGTAGTCGAATTTGTGTCTCGCGCCGCCGGTTCATCGTCCGCGGTGTTAACTGGCGTGCCGCGAGACGTCCTGCCGGTGGACTTAGCCCGTTCACGCGGGCGGTCCAACTCAATCCTGCTGCGGTGCTCTTCATTGAGTGTCGAGGTGGGCCGGCACGTTTACTTTGAACAAATTAGAGTGCTTAAAGCAGGCTAAAACTTCGCCTGAATACTGTGTGCATGGAATAATGGAATAGGACCTCGGTTCTATTTTGTTGGTTTTCGGAATCCCGAGGTAATGATTAATAGGAACGGATGGGGACATTCGTATTGCGACGTTAGAGGTGAAATTCTTGGATCGTCGCAAGACGGACAGAAGCGAAAGCATTTGCCAAAAACGTTTTCATTGATCAAGAACAAAAGTTAGAGGTTCGAAGGCGATCAGATACTGCCCTAGTCCCCGCATAACAAGCGACGTTGCCGGCTCGCGATGTATCTCAGGAACGGCAGCTCCGATCGGGATGAAACTTGGCGGGTCGGCGGAGGGGGCGGCCGCGATTTCGGCGCCGCGAGCGGAACCGCCCCCGACCTCGGGGGGCGGAGTTACCGCCCCCGAAAGAACTTTTTTCCGGAAAATGGCGGAAACGATGTCGGTTCCAGGTAAAACGGGGTCGGAAACCGTCCCTTTTGGGCGGAAATTCGCTCCGTTTCTCGCTACGACGAACCGTTTCCGAGATACGGCGGTTTTTTGGAAAAATTTTCAAAATTTTCAAATCGTCGTATCTCGAAAACGGTGCGTCGGAGGCGAAAAATAAGCGAATGTTCGTACCGGCCTCTGCGTCATTGATTAGGCGGACCGGCGGACTCGGCGTGGGGAATCGACTGACGAAGTCTCAACCCCCCTCCCTCCAAATTTTACTCCCTCGAATTTTGTAATTTTTGAAAAAAAAATCGGAGAAAATGCCTTCTAAGGGTAAAGAGGGGTGAGAAGCGACCCCTTTGGGGTGAAAATTTTGTCCTTTTTTTGATTGGACGAACCGTTTTCGAGTTATGGCCATTTTAAAATCGAAAAAAAAAAACGAAAAAGGGCCGTATCTCGGTAAGGGTGCGTCGGAGGCGAAAAATAAGCGAATTTTCGTACCGAGCTCAATATAACGCGCGTAGAGTGGTGCGGATTCGTAACCACTATAGCCTGGTAGGTTTCCGACGTTCCTCCTATCCATTCAAGTTTTAAATTTTAAATCGAGGTAGGCTCGCAATACTCTATACGATGCCGGCGGGGGTACCAAAATCAAGAAAATGGGGAAACCGATACCGGATTCCCGTAAAGTGGGGTGGTAAAGCGTCCCCTATGGGACAAAAAATTGCTCGGTTTTCTCAAAAAACGAACCGTTTTCGAGATATAGCCATTATAAAATCGAAAAAAAAATTTCGAAAAAGGGCCGTATTTCGGTAAGGGTGCGTCGGAGGCGAAAAATAAGCGAATTTTCGTACCGAGCTCAATTTAACGCGCGTAGAGTGGTGCGGATTCGTAACCACTATAGCCTGGTAGGTTTCCGACGTTCCTCCTATCCATTCAAGTTTTAAATTTTAAATCGAGGTAGGCTCGCAATACTCTATACGATGCCGGCGGGGGTACCAAAATCAAGAAAATGGGGAAACTGACACCGGATTCCCGTAAAATGGGGTCGTAAACCGTCCCTATAAGGGCAAAAAATTACTCCGTTTTCCCAAAAAACGAATCGTTTTCGAGTTATGGCCATTTTAAAATCGAAAAAAAAAAAATCGAAAAAGGGCCATATCTCGGTAAGGGTGCGCCGGAGGCGAAAAATAAGCGAATTTTCGTACCGAGTTTAATATAACGCGCGTAAATAGGTGCGGTTTCGTATATACTATAGCCTGGTAGGTTTCCGACGTTCCTCCTATCCATTTCCAAGGTTCTTGGAAATGCGGACGGCGGAAATAAACGAGGGAAATGAAGGTCTAGCTCGCGTACGTCCCGGTCGCATCATCATCTTACCGGCTACGATTCCCGGTACCAGGCGGTACTACCACAACGGTTATCTAGACAGTTTGGCTTTGTGCGCGAAATTGAAAAGAGTTCCCACTTACCTTCTCACGTTCACGTCAAACAAAAATTGGCAAGAGGTAATCGACGAGATGAACCGCCGCGACAAATCCGTGTCCGACATAGGAAACTTTCCGGAGGTTTTGTGTCGCGTATTCGAACAAAAATTGAATGCCTTGATGGGAGATTTGACCGAGCGTCAAATCTTAGGGAAAATCGAAGGATACGTTGTCAGGGTAGAATTCCAAAAACGCGGCGCTCCGCACGCGCATATCCTTCTCTATTTGTCCAGAGAAGACGTTCCCGTTTCGGGAGAGGATGTGGATAGGGTCATTTGGGCGAGATGGCCCGAACCTTCGGACGGTAACGGTTTCGAATCGCTTCGTCACTTGGTCAACACGTTCATGATACATAACAAGTGCGATATCGAACCGGAAAACGTCGAACAGGAAATCGACGACAATGACGAGGAGGAGGAACAAGAGGGGGAGATAGGTGTCGAAAATTCGAGGGTCAGAAGACCGCCTTGCTGGACCGTTGTCGATCGATGCCGGTGGAAATATCCGAAACAGCAATTATCGAGCACCGTTTTTAAGATCGAGAAGCAAATTCTTTACAGACGTCCTCCGGGTGTTTGCTTTTTAACAGGCAACAAAATCGTTTCGTCGGCAACGAATTTGGAACTTTGCGTCGGAAACCCGATCCAGGGGTGTCGATACATTAACGCCTACGTCAATAAGGGGTTAGACGTAGCGAACATCCAATGCGTTGAGATGCAAGTGAATACGACCACCGGTACGATCGATTGGAACGAGGCGGCGGCATTCCTTAAAATGAGATATATCGGACCGCACGAGGCGGTCTATCGCATCTTGGGAAATGGCATGTTCCATATCAGTCACACGATCGAAAAGTTGCCCGTGCATTTGGAAGGAGAGGCTTGTGAAATTTACAGGGAAGGGGACGAGATGGCCGTAGTCGAAAGGGGCGAGCGTTCTAAGCTCGTCGCTTGGTTCGAATTGAACGCGGCGGAGGAGGCGACGGGTCGGTGACGGTTCTACGTCGACATCGTCGAAACGCACTCTTGGCGGCAAGGTCGTTGGGTCGCCAAGTCGCGACCCACCAGTTCTATGGGTCGTATGAGTCCGGTTTATCCGAGTCCGGCGAATATGGAGCGCTACTATCTACGAATGATTTTGGGCAACGTGACAGGTTTGATTTCGTTCGTGGACGCGAAAACCGTAAACGGCGTTTTATGTCCTTCGTATCAGGCCGCTTGCGTAGCGTTAAAATTGATCCCGGACCACGACGAAGAGGCGGACAAGATTTTAGATTGGATAGCGGATCGTCTTGCTCATCCGTTTTATTTAAGGGAAGCGTTCGCTCTAATTCTCTTGTACAATCCGTCGAAGAATCCCCGAACTTTATTTAAGAGATGGTGCAGGCGTATGTCCGCGGACGTGCATAGGATTCATATCGATTTAATCAGAGATATCGACGAAGAGGGCGCGGGCGACTTAAACGAAAGGATGCACGTGCTCCGTACGTGTCGGTATACGGTCCTTTGGAGTTTCGTAGATCGATTTCTGGTCGAAAGCTCCACTTCGATGGAAAAAATTAATCTTCCTCGGGATTGGATTTCCGATTGGGTTTACGACGAGGAGGCGGAACAACTTTTGGACGAGGAAAAGGTTATGTTCGAGGAATTCGCTTTCGTTCCGAGACCGAATCAAAATTTGCATCTGATCGATCTCAACGATCAACAGCTGGGATTCGTTTACGAGGTTTTACAGTCTGTATGCAATCGTAACGGTATGGTTTTCGTTTTGACCGGCGAAGGGGGCACCGGCAAAACCGCGACCGTCAACGTTATTTTGGAAGAGGCGGAACTTCGCGCGTTACCGTACGTATCCGCGGCTTTTACGGGGATCGCGGCCACGTTAATCCGGAACGCGGCTACGATTCATTCTTCTTTCGGCATTCCTAGAGAAAGAGGCGTAGACGATACGCCGGTTTCTAATTTGGTGGGCGAGTCGGAGGCGGCCGACGATATTCGAAACGCGAGACTCGTCGTGTTAGACGAGGTGTTTATGTTGGCGTCGTGGATGTTGGAAATGATCGATGCCGTGTGTCGGGAATACGGTCAATCGCGACGGCCGTTCGGTGGGAAAACCGTTATTCTTAGCGGCGATCCCAAGCAGTTGCTTCCCGTTGTCAAGGGTAGGCGAGCGGAAATGGCGTCCGTGTTCGAGTCCATCGTTTCGCATCCGGCATGGAGTACTTTTCAACTGTGCACGTTAACGGAAAACATGCGTGTTCATCCGCAAGAGGTGGAATGGTCGAATTTCATCAGGAGAGTAGGCGACGGGGAAAGAATCGTTTCGGACAACGGACGCGAACCGATTTCCGATAACTGTCTGTTCGTTCCTTCCAAATTAATTGTCAAATCGCGCGAACAACTCGTCGACTTTGTTTACGGGGACGTCTTCGAATCGATGCTCGCTCTTCCCGGGACGAACGAGTGATTCTTTTAATTAGCCGAGCGATTGGCCCTCCGGTCGATCCTTTGTCCCGTGAACAGCGAGGTCGAGGAGTTGAACGAAATCATCTCAAAGATCTTCCCCGATCCGTCAGGATCGAAGAGGGTCTTTTTGGCGACCAATTCCTACGATAGACAGAGTAACGAGGATGGGGCCGACGATCACGAAATCGCCAATCCCCTCGCGACGGGAGTCACCAGTGAAATTATCGAAAGTTTAGATTTGTCGGGACTACCGCCACATCGGTTGACTTTGAAGATCGGTTCGGTGGTAGTCCTTTTGGTAAATCTTAACGTGCGGAGGGGTTTTTGTAACGGACAGAGAATGATCGTTTTGGAGATAGGCGATGACGTGATAGTCGGCCGCATCGTTTCCGGTCAATTTCAGGGCCGTAAATGTGTCATTATCAGAAAACAATTCGTTTTAGAGGAAAAAGAAACGCCATTGCTACCGGGCGGCGGCACATTTTATAGAAAACAATTTCCGATTAAGTTGGCGCACGCAATTACTATCAACAAAGCGCAAGGACAGACTCTTTCGCGAGTCGGTTTGTGTCTCAACGTCCCGTGTTTTGCTCACGGTCAATTGTACGTCGCTTTGTCCAGAGTGCGTACTTGGCAGGATATTCGCATTTTGGTAAAGGAAAGTCGTAGACAGGGTCGTTTCTTTAAAGACGGTCGCAAAAATAATCCAGTTTTCACGCAGAATATCGTTTATAGGGCGTTTTTAGATAAAATCTTCAATTGAATTCGAAAATTTGTAACTTTTTACATTTTCGTTTCCATTTTACGACCCCATTTTCGTTCCGATTTTACGACACAACGATGACAGTTCACCGATAATAACTTGTAACCGAGGGCGACTTTTTACCGACGACGTCCTTTACCCAATATAGCCTTTTCACCCGATCGTGACTTTTTACCCAATTATGACGTTTACTCGATCACGACTTTTACCAAAAAAAAATATTACATTTTCCAAATTTTTATTAAGTACACGAGTTCCAATATTTCCTGTTGCCGGTACGAACGATGAATTTTTCCCGATTAAAACTCTAACCCGACAAAGACGTTCACCCGATTGAGACTTTTACCCGATTATGACTTTAATCCCATCACGAGGGTCGAAATTATTCGTTACGATCGATACCGCGGACAATCGAACGATAGAGAAAAATACGACGATAACCCGATTCGCGACACACTATCTCATAACGTAACTAATCCTTTTTTTTTATGTTTCAGATCTACGAGACGTTCACAACCGGCCAAGGATTTTTTATTATCAATACTAATTTGTTATATTTCAGGCGACCTTCAAGGTTCTTTTTAGAACCGCCAAATGGTTTTTTAAAGAATTCGTTTTCGATAATAAATAAAAATGAAATAAATTTATTTTCCCTTTCCCATTCCTTTTTCCTTTAACGTCGAACGAAACGTTTCGAGACGAACGTTTCAAAAATACGTAATCACATATCTTAACATTTTTATTTCAATTTCAAAACGTTCTGAATCATGGTGATGTTCAATTCTAAATTTTGATCGGTTTTTTTATTAGTTTTAATTAGATATCAAACCGCCACCGAAGAGGTTCACGGTCTAGGCAATACGTCACTTTGGTCCATTTTGGTTAGTTTCGGTTATCGCTTTGGTGATGCCAACCACCACCGAGGCGGTTTACCGTTTAGACGGTCTATATACTTCACTTTGGTCCATTTTGGTTAGCTTCGGTTATGGAAGCGGTCTATATATAGAGACGACCTATATATGGGGCGGTCTGTATATAAAGGCGATCTGTACATGGAGGCGGTCTATAAATGGACTCGGTCTATATATGCAGGCGGTCTATATATGGAGCCGGTCCGCATATGGAAGCGGTTTACATATAGAGGCGGTCTGTATATGGAGGCGGTTCATATACGAAGGCGGTCTGCATTTAGAGACCGTTCGTATATAATGGCGGTCTGTATATGGAGGCGGTCCGTATACAAAGGCGGTCTGTATTTGGAAGCGGTCCGTATATAAAGCCGGTCTGCATATGGAAGCGGTTTACATATAGAGGCGGTCTGTATATGGAGGCGGTCCGTATACAAAGGCGGTCTGTATTTAGAGACGTTCCGTATATAATGGCGGTCTGTATATGGAGGTGGTCCGTATATGGAGGCGATCAATATATGGAAGCGGTCTGTATATCGAGGCGGTCCGTATACAAAGGCGGTCTGTATTTGGAGGCGGTCCGTATATAAAGGGGTTCCGTATATGGAGGCGATCCCTATATGGAAGCGGTCCGTATATGGAGGCGGTCCGTATATAAAGGCGTTCCGTATATGGAGGCGATCCCTATATGGAAGCGGTCCGTATATGGAGGCGGTCCGTATACGAAGGCGGTCTGTATTTAGAGACGGTCCGTATATAATGGCGGTCCGCATATGGAGGTGATCCGTATATGGAGGCGATCAGTATATGGAGGCCTTCTGTATATCAAGGCGGTCCGTATACGAAGGCGGTCTGTATTTGGAGGCGGTCCGTATATAAAGGCGTTCCGTATATGGAGCCGGTCCGCATACGGAGGCGGTCCGTATACCGAGGCGATCCATATACGAAGGCGGTCCGCATACGGAGGCGGTCCGCATACAAAGGCTATCCGTATACGCAAATTCGAGGTGAAACCGCGAAATGCTCATTAAATCAGTTATGGTTCCTTTGATCGTACCCACAATTTCTTGGATAACTGTGGTAATTCTAGAGCTAATACATGCAAACAGAGGTCCGACCGGAGACGGAAGGAGTGCTTTTATTAGATCAAAACCAATCGGTGGCGGGTGCGCCCGACATCGTTCAACTTGGTGACTCTGAATAACTTTACGCTGATCGCACGGTCTCGCACCGGCGACGCATCTTTCAAATGTCTGCCTTATCAACTGTCGATGGTAGGTTCTGCGCCTACCATGCTCGTAACGGGTAACGGGGAATCAGGGTTCGATTCCGGAGAGGGAGCCTGAGAAACGGCTACCATATCCAAGGAGGGCAGCAGGCGCGCAAATTACCCACTCCCAGCACGGGGAGGTAGTGACGAAAAATAACGATACGGGACTCATCCGAGGCCCCGTAATCGGAATGAGTACACTCTAAACCCTTTAACGAGGATCAATTGGAGGGCAAGTCTGGTGCCAGCAGCCGCGGTAATTCCAGCTCCAATAGCGTATATTAAAGTTGTTGCGGTTAAAAAGCTCGTAGTCGAATTTGTGTCTCGCGCCGCCGGTTCAACGTCCGCGGTGTTAACTGGCGTGCCGCGAGACGTCCTGCCGGTGGACTTAGCCCGTTCACGCGCACGGTCCAACTCAATCCTGCTGCGGTGCTCTTCATTGAGTGTCGAGGTGGGCCGGCACGTTTACTTTGAACAAATTAGAGTGCTTAAAGCAGGCTAAAACTTCGCCTGAATACTTGTGGTCCATTCATGGAGTATGTGATGACGGCGTACAGCAAGGCTTCCACGGTAATATCAGTGGCCGGTCAAGTTTCTGAGAAGTGGCGGTTCGGTGGAAGTCCGTCAAGGCGATCCATTGTCACCGCTACGGTTTAAGGACAGATCCGTCATGATGCAGTTTGCCCTGCCTTGGCGGGTGGACTACGGAATAACGGCTGCCACGTCGAGCGGGAGCGGATCTTTTGAAAGCCCGACATCATCGCTAGCAAGGCTAGCCTCGCTGTCATAGTAGACGGCCAGGTGGTCTCACCGCCGCAGTGCACTCATCACAGGTGTGTCCCAAAAACCTACACGTCTCGGAAGAGAAAACCTCCACCACCGCAGCGACCATTTCACGGAACGGGGTGTGGTGTCGAAAGTCCATAAACACACTTAATGTTCCGTGGAAACTTCCATCAGGGAGATATGGTTTGCAACGCGAAGAGCACCGCAGTTGCAGCGGGACCGCATCTTCCACTGGGACCTTGAAAATCCGTAGAAGTCATCTGCAGTTTCAATGTATATTTCAGTCTGCCAAGTTATGGAAATGCAGGTTTTGACTATAATCTACTCGAAATCAAGAGCGAAAAAAACCCAAATTTGTCCCAAAAAGAGGGGTTTTAAGATCATATCTGCTCTTCTAATGTAGATTTGGGTGCATCAATAGGCGAAGAAGCAGATTCTGACAGGGATTTTATCGAAATCGGCAACTATTTGATTTAGAAAGGGGTTTTACACCCATGATAGTCTAAGCTGATATTTGCAGTTTTGATGAGGTTTTAGATACGATATGAATCGAAGAAGCCGATTTTGACTGGAATCTGTTTAAAATGACAAAGAAAAACCTATCATCAATTCAAGGAAGTGAATTTTTAAGTAGTTATCTGCAGTTTTAATGTAGATTTAAGTTCGCTAAGTTATGAAAATGCATGTTTTGGCTATAATCTTCCGTAAATCAAGGACGAAAACCAATTATTTGTCCCAAAAGAAGGTGTTTTAAGTATATATCTGCATTTCTAAGGTAGATTTGGGTACAATAAGAGGCGAAAAAGCAGATTCTGACTAAGATTTTATCGAAATCGGCAACTATTTGACTCAGAAAGGTTGCCTTACGTCGAAATCTAATAGTTTATTAAGGTTTCCGTTACTAAAATGCCCAAAGACGCCGATTTTGACTAGAATTTGAAAGATATTAACATGAATATATAACTGTTTGTATCAAAAAATGATAGTTTAAACTGATATTTGCAGTTTTGATGCGGTTTTAGGTACGATATGAGTCGAAGAAGCCGATTTTGACTGGAATCTGTTTAAAATGATAAGGAAAAACCTACTATCAATCCAAGAAAGTGAATTTTGTGTGAAGTTGGTGAAGTTACCTGTAGTTTTAATGTAAATTTCATTCCGCTAAGTTATGGCCACGTGGAGACGTCGGGCCAGTTCGTACCTATATCCGCAGCAGGTCTCCAAGGTGAAGAGCCTCTAGTCGATAGAATAATGTCGGTAAGGGAAGTCGGCAGGGGAAATCCCCTGGGAAGCAATACGACGCGCACGAAGTTGTTTGGCGGTTAACCCCTGTGCAACTCTACTGCAATAGTGAAGGGCTGGGGCGCATATTAGGTTTAGAAATGCTCCAAGATAGTGTAGATGAGGGGGTTGTCACTGTCTCCACAATCTGTCCCGAAATGCCCGAAACGCCCATCGGGAAAGCCACAGAACGCACACAACACGTTAAGACGCACACGCGACTATCCCGGATTCGATGGCGCAAGGGCGATGGCGAAAAGCCCCGATTTACGAGCAGCCGCGAAACGCATGTCCACACTCGACGACCTCTCTCAAGAGAGGCATAGTTAAGTTACTCCCGCCGTTTACCCGCGCTGGATTGAATTTTTTCACTTTGACATTCAGAGCACTGGGCACAAATCACATTGCGTCAACATCACGTTAAGACCATCGCAATGCTTTGTTTTAATTAGACAGTCGGATTCCCCCGGTTCGTGCCAGTTCGGAGCTGACTGTTAAATAGCGGGCGAAGAGAACACCGGAAAACCGGAGTTTTCCAGGTCTCGTAGCGAGGCTGTTCCGCGGGAGGCCAAAGCTCGGGACCGGGTTCGGATCGGCTCGTTAACCGGAACTCGCTTCCTCGCCAAGCCCGACATGCCCCGATCTTTAGAGCCAATCCTTATCCCGAAGTTACGGATCCAATTGGCCGACTTCCCTTACCGACATTATTCTATCGACTAGAGGCTCTCCACCTTGGAGACCTGCTGCGGATATAG